AACATATTTTAATACTGACTCATTACCTCAGACTCAAATGTAAGAGGAAAAGGCTTTCTCCTTTATGTCATTCTCAACAAGAACCACTATGTTCTAACTTTGAGTGATTATTTGATTTTAAGGCTTTCGTGACTGTCAAATTATGAAGATCTCCAGGAATGGGTACTATATATTTTATAGTATACACTTACACTAAATGTAAAAGAGTGGAAGCTGTCCATTTACTATTAGAGTCACTCCAGTGGCCTAGCTGTTCCAACAATGACCATTTTTCTCTTTTCGCTATTCAAACTCCCTGACTTTTCTGCAGGGCACAGCTATGCCTAGAATATAGACATTTCTAACTTGCCTTGCAACAAGTGTTGTCATGAGATTGACAGAATAAATGTCAGAATATAAGTGCTGGAGTGTATATAAAGGTTTGGGCATTGTCCCTCATGTTTCATTTCATTCTTGACATGTCCCTCATGTTTCATTTCATTCTTGACTAGACTATAGACACAAGAGCTGGAGCTCTAGCAACCATTTGGTACCCCCGCATAAATCTTGTTGAGAGCTTCTTGATTTCAAGCAAAAGCTAAGTGCTTTGACTTTAGAAAGATGCTCAGCTCCAGCTCACTATGTTTTCCTTTAGCCAACTCCTGGCAGAATTAACTTCCCAAAGATCTTTAATAGTTCTAGGTTCTTAATCTCAATTTCAATGGTTCCTTTCACAAATAAAGGGTAGTAAAAACCAGTGATCTCAATTAGCAAGCTCTGATCTCAACACCCACACCATGTGTGAGTATGTATATGTGTGTGTGTGTGTGATATACACAATAAATAAATACTAGAAATATATATACCTTTATATATGTCTTAAGTTTTCAGAAGTCCAGTAGCTTCATGAACTAGCTGTCATGATTGAACATTGATAATTGCCATTTATATTGTTATTAGGTGTGGTGGTTTGAATGAGAATGGCCTTCATAAGCTCATATGTGTTAATACTTGGTTTCCAGTTAGTGGAACTGTTTGAGAAGGATTGAAAGGGTTAGGTGTGACCTTTTTGGAGTAGATGTGGTCTTTTTGGAGGAAGTCCGTCGTGTGGGCTTTGAGATTTTAAAAACCCATGCATGCCCAGACATGGTATTTTTCTCTTTCTACTGCCTGCAGATCAGTGTAAATGGAAATTTATCTGTCCTGCCCCATTCTGCAGTCACTTTTAAATAATCAGTCAGAGGTTTAATATTAGTTACAAAATGCTTAGCCAAATAACTCAGGCTTATTACTAACTTAATTATAACTAAACTCTTACTTTTAAATTAACCCATTTCTATTAATTTAAGTATTGTCAAGTGTTTGTGGCTTTACCTGTGGCCTAGTAAACCTTGCTGCTCCTGTGACTGACTGACATTTCCCCTGACTCTGCCTTCTTCTCCCTGTATTCAGTTTGGCTTCCCCACCTAGCTATATTCTGCCTCACTACAGGCCAAAGCAGCTTTTATTTTCAACCAATGAGAGCAGCATATATTCACTTCAAACAGAGGGGTTATCTCCCTTTCTGTCTAATAAAAAAGGAATGTTTTTAACTTTAACATAGTAAAAATACAGACAACAAAACAGTTATCAAGTAAGAATTGTAGTTACAGTATTTAACCTATCTGTATTTGAGAAAATTAAAGAAAATATTTAATTATCTATCCTAACTTGGTGAGTTTAAAGTTCTGTATCTAATTTATCTTTTTATCATAACTAAGAAAAAACTATTATAGCTCTCAGTCTTCAACTCCATCAAAGACCCTAGAAGGAAATAATATCACCTGAGTAATCAGGAAGTACAAGCAAGTGACTTCCAAAAGATATGAGAAATAATAGAAACAACTGGATGCCTGAACAGTCATCCAACGTTGTCAGTAACATTGGGGCATCTATCTGTGGTCTGTAAGCCTAGCATATCTGACAGACTTTCCTGTATAGCAGAGAATTTTGAAGGATTGTCCTACCTTGTCTTGGCAAAGGTCAGCAGTAGTCATTCACTGTCATGAAGAATATAAGCTATTGAAATATTTTAAAAAGCTGTATTTTGTAGGTCTTTGAAATGTTTGAATATTATCTATCTGAAATATATCTTTGTATGTCTAGAAAACAGAACTAATGTGACTAAAAATTTGAATGTTGTAGATGACCAATTGTATTTGTGTAAATCTGTATTGCTTAATTGGTCATTACATTTTAAATTCAGATGTATAAACACAATATCTTAAACGAGAAATATCCACATAGTATAACAAAATTAACCTTAAATTTATGTTAATAAACTAAAATCCATACCAAAGTAAAATATTTTGAGATTAGCACTTGTTGTTTGGATTAAAGTAGATTCCATAATCTACCATTTTTCCCATCATTTCTGTATCATATCCCCCTTTCCTCTTCAAAAAGATATTGATTGTGATAAATAGCAATATGTCTAGAACCTTTTTAAAGCTTTTTAAAGTCTTATGTGAGTTCTTGCCTCATAACAGGCACTATATATAAACAGTGGTTTCTCTGTCCCACCCCACCCTTCAGTCACTTTTAAGTAATCAACCAGAGGCTAACTAGTTCTTACTTTTGAATTAACCGATTTCTGTTAATCTAAGCAATGCCACATGGCCATGACTTCACCGGTGGACTACTACATCTTTCTGCTCCTGTGGCTGACTGGCATCTCCCCTACCTTCTTTCTCCCTGTAGTGTTTGGCTTTCACACAAAGCTATATTTCCCACAAAGCTATATTATTATCAACCAATGAGAGCAACATACAGTCATACAGAATATATTCATACAGCATACAGAAGGGTTATCCCACAGCAGATCAGGATGTAAAGCTCTCAGCCACTGTTCCAACACAATGTCTATCTTCTTTCTGCCCTGATAATCATGGACTAACTCTATGAAACTGTAAGCAAGTCACCAGTTAAATACTTTCTTTTATAAAAATTGCATTGGTCATGGTGTCTCTTCATAGCAATAAAACAGTGACTAAATTTAAAAAATTCATTACACGTTATTATTTCTGTTTGTTTAGTGTGTGTGTTTGTGTGTGTGTGTGTGAAAGAGAGAGAGAGAGAGAGAGAGAGAGAGAGAGAGAGAGAGAGAGAGAGAGTTGAGTTTTAAGCCCCCCAAACTGCATGTGAAAGTCATAGGATAACTTGCTAACTTGCTGGAGTCTGGTCTCTCCATCCATTGTGTGTGTCACAAGGATTTAATTCAAATCATCAGGCTTGGCAGGAGACACCTTTACACACTGGCCCTATTTTCAGTTTTTAAATTAAATTATTCAGTTATTACATAACCCATCTAAGAGGTAATCCTTTTTAAACGTTCTTTTGAGTTGCTATAAAAAATTATTCATTTAGGTGATAGCACATTGTATTCTCACTTATCAGGGATTAGAAGACAGATTTCAGAGAAAAAATAAAAAATTAAGCACACTAGTAGTTTTACTATATCAGGTATACACTGCATCATTATTGCAACACTGGGAGTTTAGAAAGAAATTTTGAGGTTTGTGCATTTGAAAAACTTTCATATAAATCCCTTTAAAGCAGTGTTGCTCAAATTACAGAAAAGGAATTACTTATTACTTGTATAAGACCTTCTGCCGATGGTATTGGAAATGTGGGTTCCCCGTAGAATCTCTGGCATGGGGCCTGAGAATATGAAGACTAATTTTTAACCCTCAAAAAAAAAATGTTTCCAGCACATTTAAGTTCTAGAACGTCCTTTCTGCTGATCTATCTAATGAAATAAAGTTCAAAGCTGATTCAAATTAACCTTTGCCTCACTGCGTGAGAATATCATGAGGGTTTCTTCTTTTGCTCTGCCTCTAGTGTCAGTTCAGAGACTTGAAAGCCATGTTGTGAACGGGTCCAGGCAGAGAGCCATTGCGATAAAAAGGAAGAGAACTGCACGTTAAAGAAAAAGATCGGGTAACTTAATTGAGCTCTCCCATCTCATTCCGTGAAGGCGCTCCTGGGCTCTGGTGATGAATGTGTTCATTTTGTGTGGTTTGCTTTGGGTAAATAACCCAGTGCCCTATCAGCTCTGTAGCCCTCAGGTGGTGTGCGTGCCAGGAGGGCTCCGGGAGTGGCTGCCCGAAGCGGGCGCCCCTGGCACTTCCTAGGAGACTCACAGCCCTTTCTCTGCAGCTGTCATTAGAAGACTCCTGGGCTCTCTGGAAGAAGGAAGCCACCCATCTGAGCCCGTTGTCTCTTCCATTACTTATTCGCTCTCCGCAAACCGCTCCTCCTTCCTAGTCTCTCCATTGTGCTCTGTTGCCTGCACAAGACCTTCGCCTCCTTTGTAGTAAGTGGGAAGATTTACTTGAGGCTCTCCGAACCTCCGGTTGCAATGGAGCTGTATGGAAAGGTAAATAGAAAGGGGTGCCTTTGAGTGCTCAGCCAGAAATATGGGTTTTGTGTACTTTGAGGTGTGTGTGTGTGTGTGTGTGTGTGTGTGTGTGTTCGTTCGCGGTTGCTTGATTGAAGAACTATTCGATGCGGTCGTGTTGACGAACCGCTTTTCTTATATGCGTGACATCCATCGTCGTTTTCCCGCGTGATTGTTGAATAAAACTGTAAAACTACTCCACTCCGGATATGCATAAACTTTTTGGGTTCAGGATAGAGGTAAGATAAACGCCCGTTTGCATTGGAAATTAGAACAAAGTGCAGCGTTTCCTAGCCAGAAAGATACAGTCTGGCTTCCAAACGAGATACTGAGTAGAGGAGGTTCTTTGGGATGATCTGCTGTCTCTTTCGCCGGTGCTCTGAGGAAATGTTCTGGCAGGCTAAGAGCTATAACAACCGATGTAATTGGAAAGAAGGGAGGCTCCGATGCCGAGAGCAGCTGTAGAGACTAGCCCAAGGGAAGCGTGCAGGATCTCTGGGAGTTGTAGTTCACAGTTTTCCCGTTTGCACAGAAGCCTCTAAAGACTAGACTACAACTCCCAGAAGCGCAAGGGGTTCTGGCCAGTACGCCTGTGCCGAGTCAGGAGCGGACAGCTCCGGTGCTGATGTTGGAGCGGGCTACAGAGCCCCACGCGTTTGGAGTGTTGCCGGGAGCGCGCGGGCTGTGCACGCTTGACCAGACGCCCGGAGCAGCGCTGTCCTAGCAAGAGAGAAAGGACATTTGCCTACAATGAGACACGAGGCGCCCATGCAGGTGGGTCTACAAAGAAAGAGTGGTCTCGGGAGAAGTAGAGAGAGGGTTTCTCCAGTCGCTCAGGGGACGTCTTCATGAAAAAAGATAGGTAGGATTGTTCAGTATCTTTTCGGGTTAAAGGAGACTTGAGTGTGGAAAATGAAAACTCGAGCTAACAAAGTCAAGATAGACCATCTCTTGTTGGATTTGATGTCCTTGGCTTCCTAGGTTCGTGATAGTGGTGTAAACTGGAGATTTTTTCAGTCACATGAATTAAGTGAGACTCCTTAAGAAAGAGAAGCAGTGTGTCTCCAAGTCCTCTTTTTTTGTATTTTTTTTTCTTTTAAATCAGGATCCCAGTATCAAAGGAAAAGAGAAAACACATTTACTCTTTCATCTCAGAGCCGTACTATCCTTGACATATGTCTGCCTGACTGAGTAGCTCCGTTTCGAGGACCCTCTTTCCCCCAGCATTCCTGTGTAAGGTAGCCATTCCCTGTACTCTCCGATTCCCCATTTTAATCGCATCCTTGGGCTTACTCTCCTCAGAAAGGAAAAGTACCCCTGTTGGAGCCACTCACCAAGTTATGCTTTTAAGTAAAGACCAATGTTGTTTCTCCTTTCTGTGTACAGCTGGTTAATGCTAGACATAAGTCTATGTTAATTAACTAAGCTGAGTGAGCCCGTTGCATAACAGAAAGGCGTTTTATGAATGGGTTGAGAAGAGAAAAGATCACTCCATTTGGAATGTGTTGCCTCCCTTCAGAACCCAAACTCAGTTGCATACTGTTGGCAAACTCAGTAGCATAAATATTTGACAATCCAGTCTCAAACATTTCCCATGCTTTCTTCATGAATCAAGGGCTTTATACATCTGCTTTGATTTACTTTTTGTTTATTTTGTTATATATGCTAAGGAATCCTATCTGAAAATCTAGATGAAGGCATTATAGAGTTTAATTATTTGCTGGAGTATTATATAATGGAAGACCTCAAATTACCTTAAGAGTTATTGAAAATTTAATTCGTGCCCAGGAATAGTAAGTAGACCCTTTGTGTGGCATCTGATGTTTCTGTTTGTGACTTAGCTTTTTATTATAGATCCGATGCAAAATGAGTGTGGACAGACAATAAAGACTGTTGCAATCAAGATATAATACCTTATGATAATTTCCCTCACTGGAGATGTTGCTAAGAGCCAACTAACTGATTTAATTATATTTGATGATAGGTAAATATTGGCAGGTGTCTTTAAAACTGGGTTATCACTCTTCACCTTGTATACATTTATATCAAAATATTATGTGCTGACCCCTAAACTTATGGTTTTCCAAAACTGAAAAATAAAAAATAATATTGTAAATTAGAATTTAAAGTTGACTCCACTGATTTTTGTCAAATGACAAAAAAATAGCTATTGTATATTGATTTTATTTTTCTGTATTGCTTAGACTATCCAAAAAGGTAGTGAAATGTTGCAGATTCTATTAAATTAATGCTTTAAAACATATTTTAAATTATTGTGTATATATTCATCAGATATTACTAGGTCTTGTAAAGCTGAACTTCAATGAAAACTCTAATGGTGAATTATCGTAAAAATTAGGTACCACGGAATTAGTTTTCTGAGAGATACAGATGCTTTCCTATTTGTGATGTGTTTCAATTCACTGGGTTATATTTTTGGAATTTAAAACATAACCTCCCCAAAGCTAGTGTGAATTTATCCATTTCAAGAATTCAGATTTGTTAAAAGTATATTTAATTCAAGCACACACCTTGATTCATTTTAATAGGTTGTTGTTCAGGTGATTTCTCTCATTTTCAGATTTTTAAAATTGTATAATAATTAAGAGTATAAACATAATTTAGATTGTTTTAAAGCAGCAACTACTGTTTCAGGATTCTTTTTCTAAACTACAATCAAATTTCTTGTGACTTTGAAACACAAAGATGCAACATTAGAAATGGTGGATATCCCTATTTTCATTTCAAAGATTAAGCTGTACAATCACTTGGAACAAATGTCTCAAATATTTCTTTACTTACACTTATGAAGGATGAGTCACAAGGGAAGGCTCACTTTATATTTTCCTAATCTCAGATATTTTTTTTTTGCCTTTTTTGGGGGAGCATTTAGTTCTGTTGCTGATGTGGAGCAAAATGAGCTTTTGATTTATTGGCTAGCTCCCAAAATACTATGATTTTTTTTTTTCCTGAAATAAAATACTTTGGAAAAATACACAATATCCATCACAAAGCATTTGATGTTCTTATATAGATGGCTTTGTGTTGAGTTCATTGGAGTTGTCTTTGATCCTAGAATATTTTCCATAGTATTTTTCTCCACAGAGAAAATAAGAAAATTCTTGTTTCTTGTAGTGACTACTATCACAATAAGTAATAGCTACCTTGCTTAATTAGTTAATCAAGGATAGCATTTGATAAGCATGGTAAGTTAAGAACATTAATGTGGATGGTAGTCATTTAGTCTTTTTATCCAACATATCAATAAATCTGGAGGTCAAATGACATGGGGAACAGTAATGCTCATGATTGAGGGCAAGACTTTGAAAGAAAATTTAATACAGGAGCTGACTAAGAAATACCCCAGTTCACTCAGTGCTTGCCTGTGCCAACCACCGAGCTTTACATTCAGATGTCACCATCCCTGTACATATGTATAAACCCTCATATGCATGGCTATATTTGAGCCAAATATTTAAAAATAAGTTTTAAAATTGTACAAGTCATCATTACCTAATTAAAAGCAAGGTAACTGTAGTTTATTAATATTAGATAACTTTTCTAATACAGAAGTGTTAAAATTCTGTCAGATTGATTCTACCTAGAAAGCTCATGTCCTTTCTTCTGTTATTTTGGTTTCTCCAGAAGGTATAAATGTATGGTGTAAAGGATAAGAATTCTGTTGAAAAAAAACATTACTCATTCATTTGGTTGAGAAGAAAGATTTGTTCTATTTTATGTTTATAAAATAAGTTTACATAAACTAAATACTTGGGAAAGGCGATTGTGTTTAAAGTGTCCTACTATCTATCTTTCTTATAGTTTCCTGTAGTTTCATTTTCTCTCTTATAGGACAAAAGGTGGATCCATTTTCTGTCACGTTTAGAATTTATCTTAGTTCTCAATTTTATCTGATAAAAGCAGAACTTTCTTATAAATAAGGGAACTTCAAACAAAATGCATGCTGAAGGACTGGAACAGACTGGGAAAAATGGCTAAAGATAAGCCACAGTAAGAAAACAATGTAGACATAGACCAAAGAGGATTCCAAGGTGGTCATAGTAAGACAGTAGTGTTCAATACAAGCCTGTTATACATAAACCAAGTGATACTTACTGTCCAGATATTACTCTTGTATTGGCAATGGAAAGGTTGTGACATTCCTGCATTTTATTATGTGTGGATGCCTGACTCTTTTCATCCTCTGCAATGGACAGTTAGTTCCTATCCTTCACAGATTTCTTGCTGATGCTGTTGAGACAGTCTTCCCTATTTCCTTTTTTACTCATTCCTTGAGTATCATCTGGTCAAAAATAGGGAGCAAAGAGAATTAGCATAGAAAGCAAATAAACTTTGGTACTACAAGGATGGGTTCCCATTTCTACACTTTTAAGTTCAAGAACTTGAATTTATTATTTAGTTCATTATTTAGTTATTATTATTAGTCATTTCTCAGATGAGGACTGAGAGTTGCACTAATCTATGGGTATAGATATAAGTATTTAGAAAGGAGTTTGGTAATATGTATATTTAAAAAATTAGTAGTAGACTTCCTCCTAGGGCCTCTGAGCTCCCTAAATGCAGGTTCATGGCAGGATGTACAATACTAGTCATAAGTTGCCTTCAGTGGAATAAGCCTGAGAGTCAATAAAGAAAAGAAGAAAGAAAGGAAGGAAGGAAGGACAGATGGAAGAAAGAAAGAGAAGGAAGGAAGAAAGAAAATAATTGGTTACCTCTGTAACATTTGTACCATTATTACACCCATAGGCTTATCTTGCCAGACAAGTTTTGTGGATTGTAGGACTCAAAGTTTTATAAGATTGCTAATGACATTTCTCTTCCAGTAGCTTGAAGAGCATCTTCAAGTATAATCAAAGCTAACAAGCAAGGGGAAGTTTCCAGTCAGTACTAGCTTGATTCTTTAAAGTCCTGTGACTTAAGTGTGGTGCTCCCAGCAACAGTGGTCTTGTCATCAAGTTCTTGTAGACAGGGAAGAGCAATGCCTGTCACCTGCATTGTTCCAATGCTTCCTGAGACCACCCACATGACCAGTAAGTCATGAGCTGTGTCTCATACTTGTGTATTATCACTGTGAACCTGAGGAATGACCCAGATCTCAGTATGTAACCCAGACAAGCCTTGAACGTGTAGCAATTCTTTATCAGCCTTCTAATGCTGGCATTACAGATCATGGTTTTGGCTTTGCTTGTCATTCTTACTGCATAGTTCTCAGAATTATTGATGTTATCTCAGAATAGCCCACTGCCTCCAGTTTTTTTTCTCTTGTTTTGTGCTTTATTGATTTTGTCTTTTAAAAACCTCATGTTTCTTATACTTACTTTAGTAGAAATTTAGCTTTTTAGGCTAGAATTTACATCACTGATTTTGATTATTTCTCTACTGCTGATAAATATAAGCATTTAAAATGATAAAACTTCCTCTAAGGATTACACTGAGCTGACTCACAAGTTTCTGAATGCATTATTTGATTGTATATTATTTCAAATTCTTCATTTTTTAGAGTATCTTGACTTAATACTTGGATTTACAAATTTCTTTAATTTCCATAGGTTTATATATTTTCTGGATCTTGCATTGGTATTGATGATTCATTAAATTTTACTTATATCACATTTAGAAAATATATTCTTTAAGATTTCAATCTTTTGAGAAAAATACGCCTATTTTTAGATCAATATGAAATCTAATATTGACCATTTTGTCTTTATGTGAGCTGTAGTTGTAAAATGCAGTGTCTAAATGTTAGTTTGGTC